CTGTTGTTGTTTGGTTTGTCCCCAGTGTTAACCTCTCTCCCCGCCCTGGCCGTGCCCCCCACGACCCCCACCAAGGCCATGTCGCCGTCGGTGGTGAACGGGCTGGAGGTGACGGAGCAGCGGAGCTGGCTCTACCTGGAGGAGATGGTCAACTCCCTGCTCAGCACCGCCCAGCAGCTGAAGACCCTGATCGAGCAGGCCAAGCAGGCCAGCTCCTCCTTCCGAGAGGCCGCCGTCACACAGGCCAAGATCCAGGCGGACGTGGAGAGGAAGGAGGTAACTGGGCCAGGGGCGCCTCTGGGGCCGAGGGATGGGCAGAGCAGCTCCTGCCTGGAACAGTGGCAGCCCTTAGAAATTTGTTTCTCCAGGCCTGGAGAGCAGTGTTAGCAAGAGAAATCTTTCTGAGTTGTTTGTGTCCTGGGGAAAGGAATGGAGTGCTCGGGGATTCCAGGAGCTGTGGGCAGCAGGCTGGTTGTGCACAGTGGTGTCACGATGCTGAGCTCTCCCATCAGCTGTCTGTAAATTTATGGAGTGTGGGCACCAAATCCTTGTCTGGGAAAGCTGTTAGGATCCTCCGAGTAAAGTTACACTTGTGTTACTTAGAAGGTGTGGGGAATGACATCCTGAAAGAAAAGCAAACCGTGAGCCCTTCGGCTCCATGTTTATATGAACTTCCAAAATGTGTCAGGATATTGCAAAAATTGAAAATGCTGAGATATTTGTAAGATTGTTCTGAATTGCAGCATTTTGTGTGGGATTAGTTAAATACAACTGCTCTGGCAGAACTTCTTGTGGCTGTTAAGAAACAGTTCTCCACACTGAGTATCTGATCCCTTGGTTACTATCCCAGTGATGGCTTTACTGCATTTTTTGGTAAGGAAAGGACATTTAGGAAAAGGGGCAACAAAAGGCTCTCTGTGTCTTGCAAAAGATATTTGACATTTGTAGGTCAAGCCCAAAATGAACAGATTAAAGATAGGACTAACACAGGGGCCTCTGTGCTTGAGCAATGGAATTTTTTTGAGTGTGCATTAAGCCATTGTTTATATCAGATAAACTTTTTAGGATGGGGAGAATACATGAACTTGCTAAATTCTGTGCCGGAATTGCTGGGGGATAATAAAGATATGCAGGAAATGTGTTAAGTGGATATTCTGTATAAATTGAAGAGAATCAGTGTTGAAGTCTGACGAGTGTTTTAATTGGAATAGCCCTTGGCAAAGCAGTGATGGCTCTGGAGCCCAGCTCGTTTGAAAGCAAGGTGGAAGATTAAGTCAGCAAACAGCTGGGGCATCTGAATTGGATTTTAGAAAGATTAAACCAATTCAGGGCTGGAGAGTGTGAAATGAACCGAAAAGGGTCGGGCAGTTAAGATGTGTGGCTCCGGTCAGCAAACAGAGGCTTGTGTCCTCCAAAGGAGCCGGGAAACAGTTGGGAATTGGAGGTTATCGGTTTTCTGGAGCTGTTTTTGTGAGAGGGCTGGATGTGTCTGGCTTGATCCTCTCTCTTATCACACCTTTTCCTCCTCTGTGGTTTGTGCATGGCTGGAATTGCCTTGTCAGATCAGGCAGAACCCAACCCCACCCTCGCAGGCCACAGCAAGAGGTTTCCCTGCCACCGCCTCCGTCTGCCTGGAGCTTTTTAACTCAGTTATGTCATGGTAACATAGAGGTTTTGAAGGTCATGGTTTCACAGGAGAATAAATACTGTGCTGTCGGGTCATACACTTGTAAATTAAGCCTTTAATCTCCTTATATGTTGGGTCAAACTCCTGGGTGAACCTGCTTTGCCTGGAGGTGGGAGTTCAGATGTTTTTGGACTTTTTGACTGTTCCCAATACATTTAGGCCAGGGTTAGCACAGAGTCCATTTGGGATTGGGTTTGGATTTCATTGGTTTGGGACTCCTGTCCCCCCTTGCCGAGCATGGCAAGGCAACCCCTTACATCACACTCCAGCTGGGAAATGACACATCTGGTGTGTCTTCCTTGCAGCAATACCAGAGCCAGTTATTCCAACAAACAGAGGATGTGGATGGGAAAACAGAAATCATCATCAAGGTAAGCTGGGGACATCTCGTGTGTTGCAGAGTCTTTTGGTCTTTATCTCGCTCCATTTCAGTTTGTCATTGCCACAGAATCCTGTGCTGGCACAGATCTGAGCCTTCAAGCAGTGTCTTCCCTTTCCCAAGCCTTCCAGCTTTCCACACTCCTCCGTTGTCACCCAGCCAGGTTCCCGAGTCTCACTCACCTCTGAGTGGTGGTGCTGCAGCTCTGCTGGGTGGCTGTCACTGAGCTCTGGCAGGAAGGGAACTTGCTTCCTTTCTGTCCTGTGAGCTGGTTTTCATAACTCCACAATTCCCTCTGGCTTTCGGAATGGGAGTTAGTTCAGGACCCATGACTGAAGCCCTCAGAGCTGTGTGTGTTACTCAGTTGTCCCTCAGACTTCCAGGTACAACTGCACACACACACAGTGTGTTTCCCACGTTTTCCAGTACCTGTACAGGTGACAAACAGCCCCAGTCAAGTGTCCCCTCGGGACAGGCTTTGCAAGTCCCACCTTGCAGCTTTAAGGCATTTCTGGTGTCCCAAATCCCCGGCTGTACATCAGGAGCACAAACACAGTTCAGTCACACCAGCTGTTCACTGCAGGTACATGGAAGGTGTGAGCAGGGGGTGTGATGAGTGGGGTGTTAATCAGGACACCGATTTGGGGGTGCTCGTGCTCAAAGGAGAAAAGGAGCCTGAGGAACTCAGGAGCCCAGGATACTTTCACAGCCCAGCAACGCTTCCTGCCGCTGCTGCTCCAAGTGCTAATGATTTGTCAAGAGTTTAATGAGCTGGAAGCTGGAATGCTCTGTGAAGTGCTTATTTGGTGGCAGTTCAATGATGTTTCCACCTAAATATACAGGTTATGTTAATTGATGTGACTGAGGTAAGATTAAAGCGATAGACACAAAAGCATCCCCTAAAAAGCAGGTGTGATTTTTCTCCCATGTATCCTCTCTCACCTTGCTTCTGGATTTAAATCCTTGCTCCTGTTAGAGCCTTCTTCATTTGACTCCTTTTTCCCTGTTGGGACACTCCTTACGCAGTCATGCTGCTGACTGGCAAAGTAACAAATCCCTTTTTCCTCTCTAAAACCAAGGAATGATTAAGCTGAGGAGTCCCATTCTTACTCCTGCTCCTGTTGTCCTTCCTCAGACCCTCTCTCTGACATACACAGTATTATAAACCCAACAAAGCCACCAATGAAATCTGCCTTAAACCTTTCAATTTGGGATAAACTCAGAGTTTGGCTGTGAACAGCCTGGGTACAGCCTGACATGGCTGTTTGGGATACACTCAACTCCTGCTGAAGCCTGCAGCTACCTGACCCCTATGGAGGGAGGTATCCCTGAGGTAGTGGGGATGGATTTCCATGGCCACTCAGTGTCCCACCCATGGTTTTGAAGGGCTTCCTGCCTGATAGAAAGGAAAACAGAGGTGCATTCCGTTTTCCAAAGTGATCCCTGCTACAGCAGCAGGAGAGCAGGTCTCTGAGGGCGTATCCACGAGCCACTGGGCCTGTTTTGCGTTGGTGTGCTGAGTGTATTTTGGGAAGCAGGGGCTTTCCCACTGCTCCCACATTCCAGCAGGTCACAGCCCCTCGGTGACCTCGCTGGGGTGGCTCTGTGTGACACGGTCACTCTCTGTCCCTTCCCACAGCAATCCTGTGTCAACTGCGGGCGGGAGGCCACCAACGAGTGCACGGGGTGCCACAAAGTCAACTACTGCTCCACGTTCTGCCAGCGGAAGGTATGGCATGGCTGGGAGTTGGGATCCAGTTCCCTGGAGAGGGCTGTGGGACCCTAGGGAGAGTCACCTGATGGAGCAGAACCGGGCAGCCAGCGCAGAATCCTACGTGGGTCAAGCATTCCAAACCCCCTGCCAGTGGGATCACCAGCAAGGCTGTAGTCATGGGGCAGGTCTGCAAGTCAGGACAGGGTTAAAAAGGTAGGGAAGGTCCCAGGGTTTGCACACATCTTCCCAAAGGTGATCCAAAAAATCAAGGTAACATTCTGCTTAGTCCAATTCCACCTCTAATATTCCAGTGTGTGGCTCCTTTCCCCTCCATCATTGGTCTGGTTTGTGGGGCACTGGAGACCTGCTGCTCCCACCTGGGCTGGAGAAAGCGCTTCCCACACAGTGGCTTTTCCAAGGGCCTGTTCCCTTGATGGCCTCGCCCTCTGCTCTCCCCTCGCAGGACTGGAAGGACCACCAGCACATCTGCGGCCAGTCGGCCACGGTGACGGTGCAGGGTGACGAGGTGCACGTCACGGACAGTGTCATGGAGAAGGTCACCGTGTGAGCAAACTACCTCCGCAGCCGTTCCCGGGCACGCGGGGCCGGCTGGATCGGGACCCGGCGGAACGGTCTGTCCTGTGCCAACGGCACTGTTCTCTCTAGCAGAATCATTTTTGATTGGCTTTTTGATACTGTGACAGCGTTTGTCTACTCCCGAGCCCCTTTCATAACTTTGGATAATACAGAGACTGTGAAAACCTCATCTGGAATGCCCCCCACACGCACACTGGGATCCCCCTTTGCCTTTGGGAGGCTTTGCCTTTGCCTGACTGGATCCTCCACCATGTGGATTACAGCAATCTCCTCCTCTCTCTTGAAATTAATCTAAAGCAGGTGCTGCAAGGAGATGTGCCAGTATTTCCTCCTCCCGGGGCCTCCCTACCTCTTGTTTGAGAAGAGAAATGAACCTTTGGCTTATTTAATTGCCTTGACAGAGTCGGTACAAGTTCTTAGTTTGGCTTTGGAAGGATTTTTGGTTTTCCTGTGTTCCCTCTGTGCTAGGCAGATTTGGAACACGTTGGAGCTTCTGCATTTAAACACCATTGAAAAATAACATGTTGTTCAATAAAATGCAGTGAAAGCACGAGCGAGCCCAGCGGTTCCCTTTAATCCCCAGGGCAGCACTCGAGGGTGCAGGTACTTGCACAGGTGGGTGTTGTGGCAGGTACACGTGTGTCCATGTTCCCCTGTCTGCCTGGGAGGTGTTTGCTCCGCAGGGAAGCACAGCCTCATCCCACGGCGTGCCTGGAATGTCACTCGTAGCATCCACCTGGCCAGAATCAGATCGGATGAAGCCCAAGGTGAGTGCACGTGGATATGGGGCTGTCCTGTCCCTGCCCCGCAGGAGCTGCTGATTAGAGATGTGACCATTAGGGAGTTATTTGCTTTGCTCACTGCAACAAAATCATTCTGATTATTAATGTACTTCTTTAATAATTAAGCTGTTGTGGTTGGAGATTTTGGAGGACTCTTGGCAGGTGCACAAACCTCTGGTTGGTGGTTTGGGTTTGTTTTTAGCTTCAGGCATAGCCCCTGTGAGGGGTCACTTGTTCTGGCTGGTTCTTCAATTGAGGGGTCACAATCCATCCCTCTAAGGGATCACAGCCCCTGTGAGTGTCACTCGTCCTGGCTGTTGTTCACTCTGGTTTTGTGCTGGTGGATGAGGATGGTTGTTCAGCTGCTGCTCCAGGAAAGGTCAGCTGAACCACGGAGTGACCCAACCCAGCATCACACACACACTGTCAAAAGGAGAACATTCTATCCAGAGCTACAGGAAAGTTAATAAGAGAGAAAAATGCAGTGGAAAAGACTTAAGTCTTAGACTGGAGGTCTCTGGCAAATCCATGGAAAGCCAAGCAGGAACTGAGGCAGGATGGGAACAGAAATTACCTGTGATACTCCTGGGAAGGAAAGAACAGGCAACTCCTTCCATTCCCACAGCAAAATGCCCACTCTTGCTTCCCAGAGTAATACTCAAGTACTGGCGATGGTTTCTGCTCACAGTAAAATGCTGACTTCCTGTTTTGTAGAGCATGGAGACAATTAGTTAATTGAGAAGACAGTCTTAATTGAGCCCCTGGTAACACAGCTCATTCCCAGGGTTTCTTGTGTCCCGCATTCGGACGCAGCAAAGGCATCTCCAAAGTGGCACCTCTGGAGTGCTAAAGCTGCACTTGCAGCATCAAACGAGGCTTTTGGTTGCAAACTATTCTTGTTGCTTCACATCCCTGTCCAGCATGGCCGGTGTGAGCAGCAGAGCTCCTCCTGGGTTGAGGACAAGGCAGCTCCATGGACGGGTGAGCTGGGACACCAGGAATGGGCTTGGGAGGGGCATGAGGCAGCAACGGAGTCTCCACTGTCCTTATCCAGTGGCTGTCCTTATCCAACCCACTGTCCTTATCCAATAGCTTGTGGCCGGCTATAGTCAAGCCTCAGTCACTGTTGGAATTTTGGCTTTACTGCACCTTGTAAGGGGAAAAAATTTGGAAGAAAGTGGGGCAACTTCTCTCAATTGTAGAACTGTAGGTGTGACTCAGCTGCCATTAAAGCTCTCGGGGAGCTTCCCACTGGGCCCTGGTACCTGGGGCAGCTGCACCCCAACCAGGCAGTGACAGAGCCCAGAAAGGCACAGGATAATCCCATGGGAATGTAGTCTGTCTGTTTGCTGAGGAGAAACTCATTGAGCAATTGCTATTCTTAGTCAAAGGAACACTCAAGACCTCCCTGCAGTACTCTTTTCTGTTTTGTTTCCAAGCAAATTTCCCCCCTGGAAAGCAACAATCCTGTACAAAATCATGACTTGGAAGATTGTAATTTGTGCGATATTCCTTTTCTCGCCTCCGAGCCTCAGTGACAGGCGTTGCCTGGTCCCACTGGCTGTCGCCAGCCCAGGTTCACCTAAAGGCATGAAAGATTTTTTTCCCGTGGCTAGAAATGGTTCCTGACAGGAATCCTATGGCTTGATAAGGAATTCTGGAGCACTAGCAACGGTGCCTTTGTAGGACCCTTGTTAAACATGAGTGAAATCAGGCTTTGGATTTAAAATTATCAAGAGCAAGGGGAAAGGAGGTTGCACAGGTAGATGTCACCTCACAGCCCTGTTAATGCCACCCCAGAAGCCAGAAGACTAGAAATTATTATTATTATCCCTGCTTACATCAAATGTGAAAAAAGAGCCTGGAAACCTGCAGTTTCCAGTGGGAAGAGGATCTGAGCTGCATTCAGTGGTACTCACCTGTGACACCTTACTACAGGGAGCTGGGGAGCAGCTTCCTTGGGCCGCCTTCCTTCTCCTCCTCCTCCTCCCCTCCTCCCCAACAAAGACAGCAGGCCAGGGACAGAAATAGATCTTTAATGAACTATACAAAAAATCACCTGGTGATTCCTGCTCCCTGGAGGTTCCTCCTCCTCACCAGTCCCAGAGGGCTCAGCAGAAGAGGTGCAAGACTTTGCGGAAGAAGTTCCTGAACTCGGCGTTGAACACGGTGTAAATGATGGGGTTGAGAGCACTGTTGACATAGCCCAGCCAAGTGACAGTGCTGGTGACTTGAGTGGGGATGGCACAGGACTTGCAGAGAGCCCTGGTAATGTGCACCACAAAGAAAGGTGTCCAGCAGAAGAGGAAAGCACCTGCCAGGGCAGTAAAGAGAGAAGGTGATGGGAACATTCGAAAGGGTTTAGTTTAACAAGGCTCGGGCCAAACAAGACAGAGGCAGCTCAGAGTGCTCAGGGAACAGGCAGCAGCTGTGCTGACATGTGGAGCTGGGCCTGTGCCCAGACGAAAAATTGGGATGTCTTTCCTGTCACAAATATTGATGAAAAGTCTAAAGTTAATCTCACTTTGGCTTTGAATGTAAGATACTGGGAGTCACAGGTTTGCCTTGAAGGAAACTTGGTTATCAACTACATGCATTCTCTCCCAGGGGTGGTAGTTGTTGGCACTGCTCTGGCACCCCGGATCCACACAGATCCCTGCCCTGCGTGGGACAAGGTGGCACATTTCCCACCCTGCCCAGCCCTTCCCTGCGGATACTCACCGACGACGACCGGCAGCACCCGCATGGCCTTGCGCTCCCGGCCATTGATCTTGGCCCGCTTCCGCCCGTGCCCCGGGTGTGGGTACCTGAGGTGTGGGTAGGACACAGTCTGGATCCCATTGCTCATCCCACAGTCCCCAGGGAGGCCGGTGAGGCTGTAGGGGCTGCACTCCGGCGGCCCCAGCCGGCTCTGCTCCCTCTCCAGGAAGGTCGGGGGGTGGTACAGCTTCCTGTTGGCCCCATAGATGCAGCCCCTCAGCTTGGCCTTCCTGGCCTCTTCCCAGCGCTTGAGTCCTTGGAACATGCCGCAGTACAGCACCAGCATGACGGGGCACGGGATGAAGAAGGAGCAGATGGAGGAGTACACGATGTAGTTGTCATCCTCCAGCTGGCACAGGCTGGGGTCCCGGTTTGGGACGTTGTTGAGGCCAAATATGACAGGAGATGCTACAGCAAAGGCGAATATCCAGGTGGTGGATATCAGGATCAGCTGCCGCAGGTCGATCTGCCGCCGGTTGTAGTTGAGCGGGACTTGAACGGCGATGAACCTGCCAACACAGCCCCGGGTGAGCCAGGCCTGGCCTGGGGACGTCACTGCCTGTGAGGGGACCGAGAGGCCCCAGAGCTCCTCGTCCCTGTCCTTCCCCCCCAGGCATTTACATAGCCAAGGCATGGGCTACAGCCAGAGCACCCGAGGGGCAGCTCTGCTTCCTCACACAGCGGTGCTTTCAGCATGGCCACCCCTGATGGGACACAAAGCTTGGGATGGAGGATGGTAGGGCAGAGCATCCCCACTTAGGGGAGGGCAGGATCCTCCCACTGTGAGAGCCTGGCAAGGGTGTATGGAAGCAGCGTGATGCCCTGACACAGCCAGAGCAGGGAGGCACTCACCGGTCCACGCTGATCGCACACAGGTTGAAGATGGACGCCGTGCACAGCATCACGTCCATGGTCATCAGGGCGTCACACAGCACCGTGCTCAGGGACCACACACCTCCCTGGAACTGGAAAGATCCCGGGATCAGCAGATGCCTTTAAAGTGACAGGGAACACCTCTGTGCCTGGGCACCTCAGCCACTCCCAGTTCCTCCAGACAAGCAGCGCAAGGCCGAGCGCTCCTCCCGTGGCACGATGCTCCCGGCACGGCAGTGGCACACAGGAGTCAGCCCCACGCAGGAGCTCACAGCCTGCCCGGGGCTGGCAGGAGAACTGAGCCCACAGAGCATCAGCATGGCCAGGTGAGTTGTGCTGGGCAGAGAGATGGACACAGAATGGCCCCCACTGCCTTGGGTGAGTGCAGGAGCCCCCACCCTCCTCACACCCCCAGAGCCTCCCCAGCACCACAGTCGCTGCACAGCACCACTGGCTCGGTCCCTGAGGCAGCAAGTGGCAGAACACAAAGTTCCTCTTCCACTTTCAGGTCCCCACTGCTCCAATGTCCTGTTTGCAGACAATGTGAACGGTTTCCCTTTGTTAACACAACTGTTCTGTCCTGGCAGGCAAAGCACAACTCCAGCCCATGGAGACCAGGGTTGGGCAGGGAGATAGAACCTCTGGCTCTCCCTGCACAGTCCCAGTGCCAGGGCAGAGCAACAGTGACCAGTGTTGTCACTGCTCCAGACAACTGGAAGTGTTGACTGCTGTGCTTTGTGATTTTCAGCTCGGTCATCTTGGCCAGGGGCACAGCTCTGCACAGCCCCTGGCAGAGGACAGGCAGCAGAACAGGCAGCAGGACAGCAATGGCTGATGCTGGTACAGCCAGAGACTACTTGCAGCAGTTTGTTCCAAGCGAGCGCTCATCTCACCCAGGTACAAACCCAGCCTGTTGGTTTAGCATTAAAGCACTTTTTAGGCTGATACAGAAATACACCCCCTCAATCCCATTCCTGTGCCATTATTCCAGTGAGCTCCTTCCGCACAGGCAGAGTCCTGTCTGTGTGCTCACACCTGCACAGGTAACCAGGAGGCTCCATGGGCTGTTCCCATTAGAGCAGCAGGGAATTTTCCTCCCGGTTTGTGCCTGTCAGGAAAACTTCACCATCCTTTGGGTCCCTCTGCAGAGAGAGGTTCACTTAAGAACCAAACACACTGTACAAATAAGTGTGATTTTAGCTTGGAAACAAAGTGTTCAGTAGCAAACTGTCATGCAAACTATCAAACACTCTCTATATGCTCTTATTAGAACATAAATGATTAATATCACTATAGTATATATTGCTACATGTAATATATTTACTATATATGTTTACCTATAAGTAATGTGCATCATCTAAGGTGAATATTTACTATATATTTTTATCTATAGGAAATGCACTACATAACAATAATTTTTACATCTGCACACATAAATCCCAGGGACTTATTCCTCTGTAGCAACAGTCAGGCAGTGCTCGTGGAGTGTAGTGTTGCTGCCCTCGTGCAGGGTTCAGGAAGCAGGTATGGATTTGCTCCTGTGCAGGTGCTAAACAGCAGGTTCTGGTTTCATTCATCCCAGCACAGAGCAGAGCCATGTGGGGAACACGCTCCACGGAACAATGGGAAGGTGCCAAAACCCCTGCCCCTGCCAGGAGGTATTAATCCTCCGTGGGGATTAATACCAGGCAGTGGTGATGTCAGGCCCAGGATTATGATTAGAGGGGCTGTAAAGCCAGAGGAGACTCTGAAGTAACTGTCTGGCTATTTTTGTACAGCATCTCCTTGAGATACCTCCAGGGGAGGGCTGGAGTGAGACCTGAATGCTTCATTCAGCCTCTTCTCCAGCACAGAGCAGCCACTCCAAACTGAATTTGAAACCTGAATCATCAAAACCCAAATTTTTACCGAGCTTACTGGGATCCTGACAAGTTCAGTTCAGCTTATGAGAGAGAAAATTTGATTTTGAGCTACAGTTTTCCAAACCTGTTTTTGATTTGGGGGAACTAATTGATTCTGAAAAGGACAAGAGCTCTCAGGCTGTAGCACCTTCAGAGGATGTGACATTCAAGTTGGGTACCTGGAAAATGCTACAAACCCTTCCCTTTCTCCACCAATCCCCAAGACTCTGGCTTTGGGGAAGGTGCTGGGAGAGAACTTTCCATTACATGGTGTTTGCCACCTGCCCACCTTACAAAACGTGCCAAGGACCCCTCAGAAGGGAGAGTGACTTTGGATTAGAGGCTTTGCTGGGCCATGTGATTAAGGGGTACATAATGACAGGAGACTGCAGCAGATTAGCCCATCCAGGTACACTGTGTAAAGCTTTAGGGATCACACACAGCACGAACTGCCTTTAGGAAGCGCTCCAGAGCAGGTTCACCTTCAGTGGCTCTTGGGGTTCTCCCCTTTTCTGGAATACAAAGAAGTTATGGAGAAGATTTGATAGGATGGTGGATGGCAGGAGGCAGACTTGGCTTCTGAAACACCCTTGCAGCTGCCTTCCTAGTCGGCCCATTTTGGTATCCATATTCCTAAGCTCAGCTGATTGGTAAGGAAAAATCTGCCTTCTGAACCGGCCTGATGCCAGAAGAGCTCTTACACCTCCAGTGATCCTGAGGCCGTGAGCCAGGACAGGGCCAAAGGTTCTGGTTGTATTTCCTGTGATACCAACTCTTGTCTCAGTCCTGCCACACGCAGGGAACAGCAGGAGCCCGAAAGGGAATTAGGAGATGTCCAGCTGGACTTTGAACAAGCCTCTGTCTCAGCTCAGCCATGGCTTGAGGGCATGGCATGGACTGAGAACGCTGTGGCACCAACTGGAAGAGGAATAATCCTTGCCAGTGGGCACAGTCCAGCATCAGAGCCAAAGAATTGTCCCCGTGCCCCCAAATGCTGACACGGGGCCTTTTGTCATGAGCTGTGACAGCTGCAGCATTCCCCAGAAGACACGGCCCAGCCTGCAAGGGGAGAGGGAGGGGAGGGAATAGGACACAGGACAAAGGTGCCTCATGTCTGCTCTAATGTCCTTTCTTGACCTAAATCGTTGAGGTCAAGGTTTTTCAGACATGAGGAGCAAGTCTGATCATCCACCTGAGACATTACGAGGGCCTGAAGTTCCAGGACACCTCTCCCAGTTATTGGTGCCTGAAAATAACCCCCTGAGCGCTGATTTATAACTGCTGGCCTGTCTCACCTCCCCAGCATTTTGTGTGGCTCAGACATAAGCCAGGTACAGAAGAACATCTATTTCCATTAAAGCTTTAAGATTCCAGGAAAGGCTAATCCTGAATCCTGCTGCAAACAGGCTGACATGCATTCACAGAGAGCCACGGGAAATTTGGAGAGGATAAAGGTCTGGTGTCTCATCAGAAGACCTGCATCATTAGGCACACATAAGAAAGTGCAAGAAAAGAGATCTTTTGATGCCATACCACTGGAAGTTTTAGGCAGAGCAGCATCACCCTCACCAGGAAAACGGCTCATGTCATTTGTCCTGGCTGCTCCACCACTGTGCCCGCTGGGAAACACTCATCTTCCCTGACCTGGAGAAGGAGCCAGGTGAACATGCAAATCTGCTAAAACTGTTTCCTCTTTTCCGTAATCACTTACACGGATCTTAGTGGCAAAGATGTTTACATAACCAGCACCCTCAGCTCCTGCCAGAGGCTTCCTGGCTCAGACCTGGCTCAGCTCTGGCACTCGGGGATTAGGAGAGAGCTGCTCAGAGGAGCACAGCAGGCACAGGGACAGGCACAGGGACAGGGACAGGTGTGCTCCATGGCACAGTCCAGCTGGGGAAGTGGTCCTGGTACTGGCCCTAATTGCTGGGATGCCTCCGCTTACTGAGGATGGTATAAACTGCTGCTGTGGCTCCTGCCAGTGTCCCAGAGTTTTTGGGACTCCAGCCACTGTCACAGTCCTTGGGCAGAGAGAGGAAGCAGTTACACACCAGGCCAAGCCTTTGGGGCTATGCAGCTCCTTCCCAAAGGAGAAGGTGATATCACCTGGTGATATCCTGGGTACCTCCACAGCACCTGTAGCTCTGCTTCCTCAGGTAACCCCTGTTTCAGTGCTATCAACTCTCCAGGCACACTGGTATCTTCTTCTGGCCTCTCTTCACATATAGGTGGAACTTGGTTCCTCAGGAATTACTGTGGGTGCCTGGGAGTGCCCCAGGCCTGCTCAGCTACAAAAGTATCTGAGAAGAATGGTGAAGAATGTGCCCTTCTGACCAGAAAAACAGAGGTAACAAGGGAAAAGCAAATCCACCAAAACCAATGGCACAGTGGAAAAAGAGGGCATCTAATGCTTCTCTTCTTCACTGGTTCTTCTCATGGTCCCCTGATGAACCTGTCACTCCATAATACCTGTTCCAGAGAGGTCACAATGTCCTGCAAAATCCTAGGACCAGGCAGAGACCATCCTAAGCCCTAATCCACAGCCTGCCTTGCTTAAGGATGCTCAGCATGGCGTGGGAGAGAGGGGAGATGTTCTCCCACGACTGAGAAAAAGGTCCACACCACCAGCTACCACAAGGGTGGATGGAAACACCTCGTATTTTGCCCTGTGGATGCTTTCATCCACTTGAGCAGGGAAGAGCCCTCAGCTGGTACTAACGGGCAGGTTCCAGGGAGCCCCCTCACCCACCCAACAAAATCCCCCACAAGCACAAGGCTTTACCCATCCCTGGCAGTAATCATTTATCTCCCTGTTACAGAGAGAACCACTCAGCCTCAGGAGCTGCTGGCCCGGCCCCGGGCAGACGCGTTAGGGCACCTCCACTCGGGGCGTCTCCACTCGGTGTGTTTGCGGCTCGGACGGCAGGGCAGCCCCGGGACCCGCCCGCGGCCCCGGTGGCACTCGCAGGTAAGAGCCGCGGTGCTCCGAACGCCACACGAGCATCGCGAGGCGCAGGGGCTGTCCCGAGGGCGCTGGCACTCTCGGACCGGCGGGATGGAGGTGGGGAACAAGCCCGGAAAGCGGCTCTGCCCCTCGGTGCATGGGCTCTCGCCCATCCCACCGCGCAGCCCCGCAACCTTCAGGCTCCGCGGGCGCACAAGCCACAGCCCCCCGTCCCCCCGGAGACCCCCGAGCAACCTCACCTCGGAGTAGACGTAGAGGGGCAGGACGAGGAGGGCGAGCAGCAGGTCGGCCACGGCGAGGCTGACGATGAAGTAGTTGGTGGTGGTCTTGAGCGCCCGCTCGGTGCACACGCTCAGACAGACCAGCCCGTTGCCGCCGACGATGAGGAGGATGAGGAGGATGCCGAGCACCAGCGCGGCGATGCTGTGGCCGGCGGCGGGCGGGGGTCCGGCCGTGCCGTTGCCCATGGCCCCGCGGCGCTGCCCCCGCAGCCCGGGGAGCCGGGCCGGGAGTGCCCGCCGAGCCGCGGGAGGAGCCTCCGCCGCCGCCCCGCCCGGCCCGGCCCGGCCCCGCGGGGACAACTGGGTCACCAAGCGGCTTAGGGGGCGCCGGGGGAGGGGGGCAGGCTCCTGGTGTCCCGGCTCCCCGTGTCCCGGTGTCCCGTCCCCCGCCGCGCCCCCGGGAGCTCTCACCGCGGTCTCGCAGGGTGGTGTTCTCTGAAGCACTGTGAGAGGAAAGACTTGGAATTATTATAGGTTGGGCAGATAACTGGGAAATTGTATGCCAAGGTATGTGCAGAACCTGGTAATGTTTAAGTGTTTATAATTAACCTGAGTGAGGGTCCAGAGAGTCCATAGCTAAATTACTGCCAAGACAGGATCCTGTGAGCATCTTGGAGCACAGAGTAAGGATTCAAAAGTGGTCTTGATAAGCTGGAGAAACTGGCAAATGTAGGATGCAACTCCAAAGGAATTTTGTGCCTTACCTGTGCTTGGGCAGTAATAATCAACTGCAGAAATGCAGGATTGAGGAAGAAAGCAGACAGGCAGCAAGTGTGGGAGCAAAGGGAGAGTGACAGCTGAACAGAAGGGCTGGGGTGTCTTATTGCTGGAAATGAGAGAAAAATGCTGTTTGAGGGGTACCTGTGCACCTGCAGGGTCAGGCAGGAAAGACAGGGGAGCTGTGACCCCTCATTTCTAGCCCAGATTGCTTGGGAGATGTGGGACCTGATCCAGACTCTGTGGGCATCTGTCCAGCTGTGCCACCAAGCCTCAGCCCAGATGTTAATGCCAGGAAAGCATTCAGATCAGCCTGGGCTTTGTGGAAGGCTCTGGGAAGAGAAGGCATAGCAAGAAAGGGACATTTACACTCCATGGAGGCGGGAAATTGTATTATTGGAAGCTTTTTATAAGACAAGGAGCTTTTAAGATGTATTTATAGGCTGCAACTCTTGGAATTTCATCCAAACTATTGAGACCTGTGGGACAAATCCTGTCTCCAGCCACCACCCTTGTTCCCCCCAGTTCCCTACTCTTTTTTGGAAAAGGCCATGGTTACCCTCAGCAGGTGCAGCATGGAAAGGCCAGAGCCCAGGTTTCAGCCATGGGACACCGATCCAGGTCCTTCCCTTAGAGTGGATCAACAGCAGCAGCTCCACACAGTCTGTTCTGCCCAACAGCCACAGCTCCACAATTCCATACAGGAGGAGGAGAAAATCCCCTTGGTTTAAGCACTTTGCTGACAGTCTGGCTTGCCAAGTTCTGTCTCCAGAGGTGTGGCTTCCAGCCCTGTTCTAAAGCCACAAGAATGCCATTCCTTTAGTAGCTACAGAGCTGTATCACCCCTCTCTCCCATCCCAGTGTAGGTTTGCCATCCTCACACTGACCCAAATACCCATGGATTTGTCTGTTCATCTCCCTCTTCCAGTGTGCAGAGAGAGAAGAGACACTTCCACCTGCTCTGAGTGGGCCCCAAACTCCTACCAGCACTGGAGTGGGTACTCACGTGCCTGTCTCTGCATTCCTTCAGGAATGGTTTGTCTTGGACTCGGGTGGGCACAAGTGTGGCTGCACATCCATCATGTCAGGAGCTCATTTGTGGGACCTCATTTGCTGGGAAGTTCAGACAAGGCAGATGGTTTCCATCACCTGGTCACAGCTTTTCCCATCCGTGGTTGGTCCCTAAAACTTGACTTCTGGCACAGCCTCCCCTCAGCAAGGAGTTGGGACAGCAGGATCACTTTTGTTAGAGCCCTTTTTACTCTGAGAAATCAACTCAAATTAGTCCAAGGAGGCCCTGGAGTGCATTAATGAAACTGTGTGGACAGAATACTGTTAATTTATTTATGTTTAAACTACCTGAGCAGCCAAGAGAGCAGGATCGAAGTGTGACTGCTGCCCTGCCTTCCCACAGGGATTAATGCCATTTATCTAATCCCCTTCAACAGTTAATTTACTTTCATTATCTCGATTTTTCCTGTGGGTTAGTGCTGAATGACTCTTGATTCTCAGTATGGAAGCCCATATTCCAGACTAACAGGGCCTTAATCCTAGACTAGTTTAATCCTGGCGTGGATTAAACTAATGTGAAATAAGGCTTTTGACTTCCAAAAACAAGCAGCCATGCAAAGCACTAATTAGGACAGTGCTTCCATGGCAAACAGGCTGCAGACATTAGACACAATTCCTTTCTTGGATCAGAGCTGCCCTCCTTGCAGAGGAGAAGGAAGGTCTCTCACATCCCCATACTGGAAGAGGTTGTCACTGCAAGGAAAAGCAGGAGGCAGAGGACAGAGTCACCCTCGTGGGTCACCCTCGTGGAAAGCAGGAGGAATTATGTCAAAGTGTGGACTGGGAATGCTTAGAGCACCTTTGGAGAGGCTCTGGTGTGGTTGGTGCTTTGCTCGGCTGCACATCCTGTGGTGTCCTGGTTCCCCACCCCGCCGTGAGGGAGCTGCTCCGGGCAGGAGGTGGAGGGGCTGGGGAAGCCACCACGGCTGCTCCTTGTGTCAGGAAAATGGCAGCGCCGGGAAAACACCCCGAGCAACAAAGGAGTGAGACATCTGCCTGGTCTGGGGGTTTGGACTGTTTGTAAGAGAAGCTCAGGGGGATGAGCAGCGTGGTTTGTGGCTGTGGTGGAGCTGGTCCCCTGCCAGGGAGCCCAGAGGGGTCCCCCAGACACTCCCCTAGGATGAATTAATTGAGGATTTGATTCCCAGCCGGTTCAAAGGATCAGGAGAGTGGCAGAGTGAGGCATCTGTCAGAGTCTCCAAAAAGAGATGGAACTTTTATCAACATATTTTCTCACATCTGAGACACTGAATGTTTAAATAGAAAAGGGGAACAATGTGGCTGCCAAAGTTTCAGCACAGATGTGCCAAACTGGGCTGATGAATAGTGCCCTGATAGCCGGGAGCAGCATTCCCGGCTGTCTTCAGGTTCAGGACAAAGGGAGGAAAACAAAGAGCTCTGAAAGCCAATCGTGTTCCTTTGATTTGCCATATTGACAAGGGCAATTCTCTGTGAGAGTCTCGTCGGCAGCAAAGCCGCCCAGCTTTCCAATCTCCTGTAATGCATTTCCCAGAAAAGAGGCAGGGGCAGCATCCTGCCTCAGGTGAGGCTTTGCAGGAGAGGGAGGAGGATGGCACAGCTCTCTGGGCTCTCTGGGCTCTCCGGGCTGCCCAGGCTCTGCCAGTCCCCCTGCGAGAAGCTGCAGGGATTTATGTACACACTGAGTGGGTCTTTTGACATTTACCTTTCTGATAAGTTATGATAAATCCCTGTAAGATGTAAAAACTAATGCTAGTGGTTACCTGGGGGGGATGAAACTATGGAGAAAATGCCTGGATTTTCCATCTTTGCTTGGAGCCAAAACTAGGTGTTTTTGTGGATGCCACGTTTCAGCTTAACCCTATCACTGATCTCACACAAGAGTAACCTGGTGATATACAAGGGATACGAGGGTTTGTGGCACAAGGCAGATCAAATAACATAGTTCAAAAGCCCCTACCGGTTTTAAAACGTCAGTGAGCTTATTTAAGTCACTTGTCAGGGAAAACCTTCTGGGCAGGGGGAGAAGTGGAAGGCAACACAGGCAGGGGAAGGCAACACAGGCAGGGAAGGGCATGCCTGGGAGCAGCAAGCACCTGTAAATGCAGCTCCCTCCACCCTCCCCTTGACAAAGCCTGTTCCTGTTCCCCTGGAAGGGGTGCCTTTCAGAAAAAGCCCCTTCCTGCTCCCCTGGAGGTCCTGGCAGGTCCCTGGCAAAGGCCAGGGGGGGATGCAGTCGAAGCAGCCGCAGCAGCTGTGCCAGGAGCTGCTGTGCTCAGTGCTGGCACGGCACACCTGGCACAGCTGGGTGCTGTTCTTCTCATTCCAGTGAATTCCCTGAAGTGCTTTCCCCTCTTCCCCAGACACAGCAAACAGCTGGAGGCCGGGATTGCGCCGCTGATGCCACTTGGAGCCGTGACAGGGGAGTTCTGTATGCAGGGACAGGGCAGCTGCCAGCTGGGCTGGGAGCAGTGCTGGGCCAGGAGGGCAAGGATGGCCAGAGCAGCCCTGGGAGGAAGCCACCCAGTCCTGTCCCACCGTGTCCCTGCAGTGGGATGGGTTGTTCCACCTGTGCAGCCACCCTGGGGACAGTGCCTGGGGGCAGGCAGGGTTCTCCCGCTTGGGCAACGCTCAGGGAGGTTGGGAGGGAGTTCCAAAGGGTGTAAAGGTCAGCAAGTGCTTGATGGGGGCAGCAGCTCTTCTTTAAAAGGCTCTTTGGTCTTCTGTTCTTGGCCTGGGATGATGGTGCCAGCCATGGAGGTAACCAGTGTCCAGCACCTTCCCTCCTGGTTTCAGAGCAAGTGGGCACACTCCAGGTGTGTCCCATGACCATACAGGACTGTGATTTTCCTCTTCCTTCTCCCAAGCCCAACTATAGCTGCCCTGCTCACCCCTTGCTGCCATCCCGCTCTTCCCCCTTGCAGCCAAAATCACAAAATCAGGTGGTAAAGATTAAAACCACTCCTGAAAGCATCCTGTGCAAGAAAGGAGCATTTAGAAGGCTAAATCCTCCAATCCCCTTATTCCAATTAGGGTCCTTTCTCTTACAGAGCTGGGAGTGATGCAAGGAAATGCCTCCAAGCTGCTCCCCGCTGGCAGCAGCGTCACCTTCACCGTCAGCTCAGGGCCTGGGCAGGGCTTACCTGCAGACACACAGAGACAACCCCATGCCCACATGGCCTCACACAGGTATGGCAAGGAGGGGAAAAGGGAATGGGGGAGGTAGAAGTTCCTGAACAGCCCCTAAGCTGATTAAAGGGTATTTTACGTAGGCAGGGTTTAGCCGTGCAGCTCCTCGTACCATCTGACCTCAATAAACTTCCCCTGCCATGGGCTGGGGCTGCCACTGGATGGGGCACAGCCTGTGCTGGGCTCCTCAAAGGCTGGCTGCCCCTGGACAGCTTCCTCAGGACTGGGGACACCACTGCTGGATGTGTGGGGGATGAGATGGTCCCTCCCCAGCCTCCTCAGCCTGGCTTGGCCCTTGTGCTCTTTGCCATTCCAAAGCCACAGACCTCAGGGAGCCATGCAGAGGCTGTGGGAGCATTTGGGGATGTGGTGTCTCCATGAAGAAGAGCAGCTCCAGCAGATCCTGGGGCTTGGACTGTGGATAGGCTGGCAAGGATTGGACAAACCTTGTAAGGGCTGCCCAGGATAAACAGCAACCCCAAAGGCTGGGTGGGCTTTCCTGCTCCAAGGCAGGAGCAACAGTGTCCACGAGACAATAGCAACATTTGTCCATCCTGTTCTTATGAGTGCAGCCACAGTGCTCCTCCAGTCAAAGGTCTTTTTTGATCTCCTGTACCGATTTCTTAGGAGTGTGAATGGGAATTTCTTCCTTTCAGAATTTGGACTTACCCTGCAGAGCTCCGAGTGCTGATTTTGGAGAGTCTGTCTGCATCCTCCCTGTGGTGCGGGTCAGGATATGCAGCTTTGTGATGAAACCCTCTCTTTTCCAAAGTGCAGTTTTCTGTCTTTACCTCCACCACAGAAAAAGGTACTCTCTTAAATATTGCAAAATTTGGGACTAAAACATTTAATGTGGTCCTGAGATGCTGCGTTTCACGCTTTAGGTTTGGTGAGCCCTCCTGCTGTAAAGAGGAGGAAAAAGGCCTTCCTCAGTTCCACTCTCAGCTTGGATGCCTTTGGGACAGGTCACCTTGGGAGCAGGAACCAGAGCTTGGGTGTTGCAGGGGGGTGGCCCCTCTGTTTCATAATGTCTGCTCTCTGCTGCTCACGAGGGTGTCCCCAGCCATCAGCGTGGTGCTGGGAATAGCCCTGGCACCCGTGGCAGCTGGATTTACTTAATACATGCCACCACAGGGCTCTGCACCCTGGGCATGTCAGTTGGTGTCACCTTAAGCACAGGTGACTGCACAGAGATCCTGGTGGCTTTACAGCTGGCAGTGTCCCCAGGGCAGCTCAGGGGTGCCCCAAGGCCATCACATGTCCTTTCTCCATCCTGTCCCGGAGCGTCTCTCCCTGCCCTCTCCAAGGAGTGTGGATGCACACTCAGCACTCCTCACTTTGCTCCAGCCCCTTAGAGCAGTGTTCTGTCCCATGGGCTGGTGGTGGCTGGGATCAGTGCAGCCCTGACTTCCTGAGGTTGCAGGTGGGACAGCAGTGCAGGAGCAGGGCCCAGGTGAGGCCAGCAATTCCCTGTATCATTCCTAGAGCCAGTGCCGAGGAGCTTTTCTCTGCAGTGATACTGCAGAGATGGTGGTTACATTCCATCGGTACATGGGTGATTTAATCCTGCTTTGTACCTGCTAGATGCAGGCAAGGGGAATCTCCACTCCCACTTGGAACGTTCTCACAAATGGAGAATGGGAGCAGCAAGGTGCAGATTCCCAAAGCTCCAATCAGTCGATATTGCTGAGCAGGATCCTTTATCACTCCTGTTTCCAGAATCTCCTGATGAGTGTTTGGTGCTAATTCTGGTTAAGGAAAATCAGATGTGGTTTCAGGACTGGGGATTTGGTTTGGGCTCTAGTTTATTCATGTATAAATTTCAGCTTGCAAATGCTTTTGAGTTCCCTTCATGGCCCTGAATTTCCTCATCAAGGTCTCAGAACCTGCGTTTGAGTTTGAGCCCGTGGTTGGCACCTGCATTAATTGCAGCAGTGCTGGGCATGGCTACACAGTTTTCTACCCCACCACCTTTTCACTCTGCCAGTGCTGCTGGAGACAAATCCCATTTTTTGTACAAAGTAGGTAAATCAGGTTACTTAGAGCATGTTCTTCCAGTCCCCAGAAGCTTTTACTGTCCTATTATTCACCCTCTGCTGCCATCGTGGGGCCACTTTGTCATTCCGACCTCTTCTCTATCCTCTCATCCAGTCTCTCATGGCAAACTGAGCTTCCTCAGAGCTCAGGGGCATTTCAGACCCATTGAGGTTATTTGCAAAGGAAGGGAAATCACATTAGTAAATTTTAGTTCCCTACATGTTGTTCGGCCTTTATAAACCTTCTTTCTTCCTTGCCTTGCTCCTCCGTGGGTTTTCTCAGCTGTGGGTGTTTGGCAACACCAGGAGCCCAGGTTGAAGTGCCACCACCATTCCCGTGTCACCTTTACCTGCAGCACTTGAGATGAACCAGCTCCAACCCCCAGCAATGGCAGGGAATATATTCAGGATGTTTTCCATGTGTGTTTATGTATGCTGCTTTTTTAGAAGCTGTGACAGAGTCTGTTCTCAGCACACCTTTCCCAGGTGAAACCACAGCTCAAAAGGTGTTGTCCCCTCATGCAAAAGTCAGCCCTGATCCTACTGAGCAGACAACAGTTGCCCTATAAAAGTGACATGTCATTCAGCCAAATCACTGGGGCACACAGGGACTCACCAACAGATCCTGGCAATTGCAAACACAGCCCAAGCCAGCATTAAAAGAGAAGAACAGGAGATTAAGCTCCTATCAAGAGGTAATTAAAGAGATAATGATGACAATCACAGTGAATCAATTGGTACAGGGATGTTTGCCCAACAAACGACTGTCGTTAGAGACAGAAGCAGGAATTATTATCCATCAGCAGAAATAGTCCATCCAATTGCTGTGAATGACCCCATCAGGTAATTAAAGGGGCATTCCAGCCCTACTGCATTGTTTGCTGTTAATCATGATTGCTCATATTCATAGCTTTACCCAAATAATTGCCCCTGATAAGGGCAGCACATTTATAGGGGACCACAGGAGGAATGGGCCAGTGGAGCATCAGCAGCGAGCCACGAGCGACCAGGGTTGGTGAGTCCTGCTGTGCTTCCCCCCTCTTTCAGCTTTGGGGGGTGGATTTCAGACCTCTGAGACAAAAGTTATGCCCAGAAAGAGAAAAGACAAGTTGATCCACTGGATTAGCAGCCAGAAATTTTTTGGAGCAGAGGGAAAGTCTGGAGCCAGGGATGGGATTTAAAATGGGCTCTTAAGTATGGTTCTCCCAGAGAAATGCCATCCCAGGGATAGCACAAGGAAGGCCACAATGCCAGGGTGAGATCCTGGGGGTCAAGGCATCTGTGGACAGATGGAAGGACAGGCTCAGGATCCAGGTTCCCCTTCCCCAAGGGTGTTGAGCTCTGGGTTTGGTGGCTGTTCTCAGCTCCTCTGCAGGACTGTGGAGTCTGCCTAGTTTGGACTCCAATAAGAGACTGACCTTGGAAATGTCCTTGTTTTCCTATTCCATCTCCTCAAAGCTGAATCAGGCAGGAAAACACAACATTAAAGCTCTAAGTGTATGTGAGATGAAGCTTGTGGCCCCTTCATCCTCTCACCTGTTTGCTCTGCAGCCATCATTAAATATTTGTGCTGTGGTTTACACTGAATGAATTTCTGGGTAAATCCCCCTTCTTGTCCTTCCTCCTCCTACCTCTTCTCATCTTGCAGCACCTCCAGAGCAGCAAACAGTCCCAGGAGGGTGGCTGGAAAGTGTTCAGGAATCTCTGACAGTCCTTTCACATTCTTTGTACTGTCTAGTTTCAGAATAAAGTAAAAACCAATTGGGAGAACTTTGATTTGGGGTTAGCAGGTGCTGCCTGAGAGGCTGCAGGACAGTGAGGAAGGCTGGTTTCTTTGCAGGAGGAAAGCAGGTGTGTTATAAACTCCAGATACGGCTCCTGTGCGGTCCTTGGGGAAAGGTGAGCACCCTCTTACAGACACATACCCACCTCTGCAGGCACAGGGCAGAGCCTGGAAACAAAGGGGGGAAGCATGCAGTGGCTTGGGATAAACCAAATGTCCTTTTCTTTTTATTTCAGTAAGAAAACAAACTAGGGGGGGGTCTGCAGTGACTGAAAATGTTTGTTATTTCTTTTTCCTTCTTGAAAGATTTCAGGAGAGGACATGGTTTCCATGATGACAACCCTGTGGCAAGTCATTATTCCCGTGATTGTCCTGTCCCACTTCTCAGCATCTCTGCCATCCCGGGAGAGGTGAGCGTTCCTTGGGACTCTGCCTCCTTTTTCCCCATGGTTTTTGTTCAAAGAGCTGGTTGTAAACCCAGCCTTTTATCTGCCTTCCTGAACTTGCATCTGCTTGGCTGTGGATTTTGGCTTCCCTACATTGATTTAGTTAAATGAGTGCAAATGCTGTAAAGATTTTTTTTATTGCTTGAGAATGGGAATGTTGATTTGGCTTAATGAAAGAGAAAATTCATGACCCCAAACAGAACCAAGTAAGTTAAAAGGTCACTTTGGAGTCTGTTTTCCTGCTATGTAGTTACACAGCCTGATAGAGGTGGAAGTTTATTTCCAATAGCCTGGTCCCATGAAAACATAGCCAGAAATAGCCAACACTGTAAGTTCACCAAGTTCACCAAAGGAGTCACTGGCAAGGGCTGGTCTTTGTCACCACTGCTGTTATCTACCTGCTCCTCAGGTTTGTGTCTCTGGGTGTTTCTTTATTACTTCTCCAGCCTCTTGCCCTACTCTTTTGTGCTGAGCCAGCACTAACCTCACATTCTCACATCCTTGTGGCAAGGTGATTACATCACTAAAAGCAAGTGCAGGTCGATTTTCTGTGTGATGGTTAACAAAGATATTTTTTAGACTCCCGTAAGGTTTTCCCTTTTTTTGGTGAAACTTTGCCAAAATAGCACAAATTCTTGCCTGTGTGTGTTTGGTACCCTCTTTCCTTGAGGGAGCAGTGTTTAATGCCCATTCTTGTCTGGTTTTAAGCCTCTCCTCCCTCTCAGTCCCCCCAGGATGGAGCGACATGCTGACGGGCTCTTCCACAGCGAGCTCAGCAAGATGAACGGCAACGCCTACGTGAGGCAGCTGGTCAAACACCTGGTGGGCCTCAAGGAGAGGTGAGCACCAGCCAAACCCACCCTGTGGGGCGAGGGAGTCTCCAGAGGGAGGGGGATCCCAGCACCGAGGGCTGCCAGGGGCTGAGCAGCCGCTGTCCACGTTCCCCTGGCCCAGGTCCCAGAGGCACTCGGATGGGCTGTTCACCAGCGAGTACAGCAAGATGAGAGGGAACGCCCAGGTGCAGAAATTCATCCAAAACCTCATGGGCCGCAAGCGCAGGTGAGGGGAAACCTCTGGGAGCCCCCGTGCCCCCCGTGGCTCTCACTGCCACGCTGGGCCCCCTTGAACCACGGTGACACGACAGCAGCAGACACGGGGCACATGCTGCTCTACAGCTGTGGTGCTTACACTGTTGTGGTTTGGGGGTTTTAATTATTGTTAATTTTCTTTAATTATTCTTAATTGTTATTTTAATTATTATTAATTTCCAGCTCTCCTGGCCCGGTCAACACAGATGTGCAGGAGAGAGAGGGAGAGAACAGCCCTGCAGAACTTTGCTTTCTCTGGTTGTACCAGAGCTTTCTGAACACCAGGTAGGTGGGACAGATTTGTTCCCTCTGTGGCCCTGAGCCCCATAGTACTGAAGCCAAAAGTTTTTATAAAGCCAAATGCTTTTATAAATGGCCCTAGAAAAGCCAGTTATTAAAAATTATAAGACCCACGGAAATGAAATACTATCTTTTTCTAATCATAGAGTTGTTATCCTGGACTGCAGTAATTATTCATCCCATTAGGAAACCCAACCTAACAGTTAAAATGGAAAGAAAACCCTTACTACCCTGTCAAACACACTCCTGAGGATCCTAGCACCTGGATATTGTCTTTTCCTAGTGACCAACCACTTTCACTTAGACATCTCACTCTTAAATCCCTAAAATTAGGAGGAATACACTGGCCCTTACTACCTCTTGACCACAGTGGGGATGAAACCCTGCTGTGCCTTTGTGGGGTGCCCGGCTGCAGGCAGTCATGGTCCCTCTATCCTTGAATTTCACAAGACAGCTTTGTCACACTTCCTGCAGTCCAGGCCCCCAGGAATAAGGAACTCTCCGTCCTTTTTCCCTCCCTGCAGCCTCTCAGACAGAGATGCCTGGGAAGCTGCTGCCATCAGCAGCCGGTACGTTTGCCCCACCTCTAAGCCGCTGGTTGCAGACATGAAGGAAGATACAGATGGTTCTGCCTGAAGGTGAAGGGAAAAAAACAGCCAAGGAGACAGCTTTGCATGTGTATGGCCTTGAAAATAAATAGGGAAGCTCTTGAATTTGCTTAGGAAAAACTCTTGAGATTGGCAAATAAATAAAAATAATCGTGGAAAGCAGCCAAAACCCGATGAAACCTCTTAGATTACCCAAAGTGAAATGTGTGTGGGTGTGAACTGCTGTCAGTAGATGGAGCCTGGGTGAAGCACATCCCTTCCACTGTGTGTTGGCATCTGGCTGCCCGCTGCTGCTCCCAAATAAAGATTGGTTAGCTGTACCTGTGCCTTGGCTCCTCTTCGGGAAACTGGAAGAAGGGTGGTACCTTACCCTTGGAATGCAGGGTCTGGGGAGGAGCATTGTGCCGGGATCCCCCACACGAGGCACGTTGGGAGTGCCCACCGTCCAGCTGTGCACACAGTCAGAATCCATGGAGCAGGAACTCAGCCAGGTGTTAGATTCTGTGGCAAAGAAATGTTCTGAGAGCTACACAACAGAGATACTCACTGTAAATGGTATTTCCGCTCCATTCTGCCCCTGGATTTGCTGGCCCAGCTTTCTCAGAGCCACTAAAGACAGAGCTCCACGTGGAGGAATTTGTTCCCACCACTTAACGAGGTTTACATGCTGTTGACATGCAGATTCCCTCCTCTGATAGAACGGCCACTCCAGCTTTCCTGTAAAACCAACAGATTCTTGAGAGCAGCTCTAAAATAAGGATCTTCAGCTGCAGTCCTGTGCCGAGCACAACCCTGCTCAGCCCATCCTGCTCCAGCACTTCTCACCATCTATAATGTACCTGACACCTGCAAAGGAGCCCTTCCCACTCCAGTGCTCACCTGAGCACCATTCCCTTACTGAGGGGCTGAACAAACCTCAGCAGTTGTTTATTTTGGTCCATAGGAAGTCTCTGCTAGGAAAGATTCCTCTTGGAATACTTTCAGGAGTGCTGACAGCCTGGATTCCATTGAGCCACTAACAGTCACTTGGCTGAGGTGCAGCAGATGAGAGCCTTCTGAAATCAGCTGGGAATTTAAAAGAATCAGTGAGAGCAGAGGTCCCCTGGAAGGAGATTCTGGGAGGCATCCCTACAAGGAGCCACTGCTGGCCACTGGTAGAAGGAGGTGTGTTTTCCCTACAGAGTTGCTGGCAATTCCTGGGCTGCCGAGCCTCGTCCCTGTCAGGATCTACTCTGCTCACCTTGTGGGATACAGACCCCATCTCTGGCACATTAGAAACCTTTCCACTGGGAGAGCCTGGAGAATACAGGCAGTTTCACAAGTGCCAGCCCTTGTCCTTCATGCTCATCTCAGGGGGGAGGGCTTGGCCCTGAGTTCTGAAATGCTTCAAATACATTCTTGTTGCCACGAAGAGTTCAGGATAGGAGAGACCCAGGAAAAAAGAAGAAATAGGAATGTACATGTCATCATGTTCCATGACTGGTAAATCTTTCAACAACTCACCCAATGAGGCAAGGAGGCAAAGGTTGAAGCTCAGCAATCCAGTCCAGTCACTGTTTCTGCCGTCACAAAGCCGTGAGCGCGGGAGACGGCACCGGGAGAAACGGGGAGAGAGGATCAGCTTAGCTGGGGACAGGGATTCTTCAGCGACTGGCGGTTCCCCATGGCTGTTTCTCGCTGGCTCCTCACACCTGTGCTCGTCCTGCTGCCTCTCACGACAGGGGTTTCAGCACAGCAGCAAGGTAAGCTCCTGCAGGAGGTCCGTGGGCCCTGGCAGTGTCCCCAGGCAGCGGTGGCATAGGCTGGGAGGTGGTTGCTTTGCTCAGCGACTTCACCCCAGGGGGACCAGAGAGGTCTTGGCTCTCACCGACTCCTTCCCAGTGGGAATCCCCAGGCAGCTTCCCATCTCATTTGTGTGTCTTTCCAGGATGTTCTGTCAGTAACAGCAATCCGAAAGTTCCTGAAAACAACCCTGTTAACTACGTGGTGACCACCATCTACGTGCAGCCAGGGTTCACCGTCAGCATTGACCCCCGGTTCCCTGACGGCAGTTTCTTCACCATCCAGGGGGATGAGCTGCTGCTCACAAAGGTGGTGGACTATGAGGTGAGTCACTGCCTGAAGGGACGGACAGGAAGGGTGGAGAGGGGCTTTGGACAAGGGCCTGGAGTGACAGGATGAGGGGGAATGGCTTTACACTGACAGAGGGCAGGGTTAGATGGGATATTGGGAAGAAGTTTTTCCCTGTGATGGTGGGGAGGCCCTGGCACAGGTTGCTTGGAGAAGCTGCTGCTGTCCCATCCCTGCAAGTGTCCAAGGCCAGGTTGGACAGGGATTGGAGCCACCTGGGATAGTGGAAGGTGTCCCTGCCCATGGCAGGGGATGGGACTGGATGTGCTTTAAGGTCCTTTCCAACCCAAACCATTCTGTGATTCTATGACCTTGTGTGAAACTGAAAAGCAGCATAAAAGGTCATGGTTCATTTTGGTTGCTGCTACATTCTTTTACCTCCCTGGAGTGCTCTGTGTACAGCCACAAGCGTCCTTAAGTTCCCTTTCAATGTAAAACCCCACATTTATTTGAGTCAAGAGCAGCAGCCAGAGTTAATACCCTGCAGATGACCCTGTACTTGCCACATGGAACATTTCTGATTCATTCAATTTAAAAAGAGATCTCTGTTTGAATTCACCTGAAGTGGGAGAAAATGACAGGTTAGCTCTGTCAGCATCTTACAGGAGATGCAGGGAGAGAGGCTGAAGGTTGGGCTGGTTTGACTCCATCCCAAGATCCCAGCACAAAGGAAAGAAAGGAAAAGTTAGGTACACCTGAAAACAAGATAAAGCCCATCAGCATTTCTGATTCAGCAAGGCATAAATTTGGGTCATTTGCTTTGAAGGAGTTTGCACATGTTGGCTGTTTCTCCAGTGGTGGGTTTGTGTTTCCTGCAGGAAGACCCCCTGCTGGTGGTGTACTTGAACTGTGAGGACTCTACTGGCCAGGTGAGCCCCAGGATGAGGAACTGCACCCAGCATGTGCTTCCCTCTGCTCTTCCCACACAGGCATAGGGAGATGTCCTTCTCCCTGTGGGCACACACACTACGCTCCCAGCCCCATCCAGCCCCCACCCATCTCTGCTCCTTACACCATCCCCTCTGGTCACTCTGCAAACCAGGAGCAGCCCCAGCAGCCTCTTTCTGGCTCTGATCCTCTCCCTTTGCCCGTTCTGCAGAGCGATTCTTTGGAAATCATTGTCACCATTCTCAACCTGAACGACAACGATCCGCAGTTTCAGCAGCCGAATCTCACCAGGTCTGTCCGAGAGGTGAGTGTGTCTTGGAATGGAAGAGGGTGTAGCAGTACTTGAGACTTCTAATTGGTTAACCTGTGATTCTCCCTAACCCTATAAGAGGGCACTGGGTCACTCAGTGCTGTGGGACTGAGGAGGGGTCAGCAGGGAGAGGCTTCAGCCCATTTCACACAGAGAATAACCCCAGCAATGTGTTTTTTCAGGATACAGAAGTGAATGCAACCATTGTAGCCCGTGAAGATTTAACTGCTACTGATGCTGACCTGGACATCATCTACTATGAACTCACAGCCACAGTGCAGGTGAGCATCTCTGGGCAGAAAGAGTAGCTCTGGAGAAGCAGAAGAGCCCCAGTTCTCAGGTAGAGGTCATTGCATTTAGCTCTCATCTTTTACAAACCCCAAACATTTATTTGGTTAACAGAACAGAGCCATCAATGCTGTAGGTATTGAATTCTCTCACTGCTCACACTTTTATTGCACTGTACAGATTAAACTTTCATCTGGGATATTCAGAGCCATAAAACTCAGGGAAGTCTTGTTGGGATGATCTGTAAACATATCAGGAGACCTTTGTACCTCAGGGAGCTCAGAATTGCACTGAGTCAGATGGGAAATGGAGTCCTTGCCCTGTTTGCCAACGGAAATGGGTTGCGCACACAGTCCCTGATGCCAGCCTGGAGTGCAAGGGCTGGCTAGAAACTAAAAATAAAAGCAAATTCAAGAGAAACCCCAAATGTATGTTTGCACTTTTGAAAAGCACTGTGGAGGGAGCAGACAGTGCCTGACACTCGCATCCATTACCTCCATTACCCCAGGGGCTTTAGGGGCTGGGAACAGAAACCATCAGTTTCTGTATTTCAGCTCTGGAGCAGACTTTGCATTCACATTGGTGTAAATCAAGAGGATTGAGAAACTCAAAGGAACTGTAGACAAGGCATAAGATTAAAGGAGAGCCAAAGCAAATGCAGAAGGCTACAGAGTAAATTGCAACGTACGTTACTTCAGTTTGGCTTTACAGTTTCTTCCAAAATCCAGCTGCATTAGGCTAAGGCAGGTGATCCTGCCAGCCCTCAGAGGCTGAGCCATCTTTGGCCTGTTTTTTGCATGAAAGTGAGATTGCTTGGCTGTCAGGGACCAAAAATGAAGGCTTGTTGGCAACTTGTTGAGTGTAGGAAATAAATGAGGTAAGAGATTTCATCCAGGAGGAGGAACACACCTTTTGACAAGCCAGGCAACTCCAGTGTGCAGTACCAAAGATTAAATAGATCCAACATTCCCACACTGCCCCCCCAACCAGTTCCCCAGGATTAAAGGTACAATTGAGATGACAAACATAGCAATGAGCAGGATTTGAAACATGTCTGTGGCTGAGTCTGCTATAGGATTTTTTCTTTTCCCTTGCCAGGGCACAGACGGTTATTTTGCCATAAAAGGAGTTAATAACCCTGAAATTTATTTACAAAAAGCACTGGACTATGATAAATTTCAATCAACGAGGTTGCTGTTGTATGCAAGGGTAAGTCCCTGGGGAGGAACAGAATGCCTCGTTAGCCCGGTGTCTTTTACCTGAAGGGTGAGTTTGGATGGGAGATCTCTGGGGTGGCAGAGGGAGGGTGGGTGCTGGGCTTGGAGCAGCCTTTCACCCTCCACAGTTACAGGGACAGACTTGCAGTCAGCCCACCTTTGCCAGCAGAAGCAGACAACCCAGTGCTTTAGCCAATCTCACATAAATTTCTAAGCCTT